GATGGACTTCAATCTCTGAACTCGCAAAGTTTTTCTTTTTAGTTTTCGCTGTCACTATTCATGAATGGACACTTGTATTTGAGGCAGGAAACATAGCCCTATATGGTGTTTTTGGGGTGGTAATTATGATAATGTCCTCTCGCGTGCACGAGTAGCTGGATACGAACAGGTGAAATTTACGCAGCTCATTTACACACTTTTCCTGAAGATAGAAGAGTTTGTTGAATCTGACGTGACATGTTCGTACGAACCCTTCATAACAACAAAAGTAAGAGAAATTTAGGATAAGAATACGAACATGTTTTTGCATGAGGCCCATTGTGTTCACTTTGTTCCATTGGACATAGTGATCAGTCTAATGGCTCTGTGCTGGTTCTTTCAAGAGATGTTCAGGAGCTGAAAGAACCAGTTCAACGCCAGCTCWTTCAGCTCAGAGCTGGCACTTCACCAACAGTAATTAATGAAGAGACTTTAGAGAGCTAAGAAAAGTTGTCTGTTTTTGGAGCTGAGCCAAATAAACTGGCTTCCAGCAAATAAAAGTTAGTCCCACAACTAATATTTAATGCAGGGAATTTGTTTTGTAATCTTCTCCTGACTGAATCTTTTTACACTGCCTGGCCAAAAAAAAGTGGCCACATGGATGTAATTAAGGTCATTGATGTGCGGTTGCTGCAGATGGTCAGGTCTAGGTTCAGCAACAGTATCTGCTCAAAGAATGAGGTCAGCTGACTATCTGAATATACTGAATGACCAGRTTATTCCATCAATGGATTGTTTYTCCCCTGATGGCATGGTCATATTCTAAGATGACAGTGCCAGGATTCATGGGGCTCTTATTGTGAAAGAGTGGTTTAGGGACTGTGAGACATCATTTTCACAGATGGGTTTGCTCCAGAGTCCATTGGGAATCTTTGGGATGAGCTGGAGGAGGTCAGACTCTACCATCATCAATGCAAGATCTTGGTGAAAACCAAATGCATCACTGGATGGAAATAAATCTTCTGACATTGCAGAAGCTTATCGAAACAATGCCACAGTGAATGCATGCCATAATAAAACTAAAGGTGGTCCAACGAAATGTTAGTGTGTGACATTTTTTTGATGGTGACTTTTTTTTAGCCAGGCAGTGTCTAATAAGATAATTTTTATGATTGACCTGAGTTAACATTAGGAAAATGTTGCTTTGATAGGTGAACTTTATTTTTGTTGATCAAAGTCATTTTAACTGATGTGCTACAATTAGGACTAAAGGCTCTAATTACATCAAAAGTTTTTTTTTCATAGAATATATGTTATTCACCATATGCCAACCACCTTATATTTAAAAACAGAGATCACATTGGATCCCCAAGAGATACTGCAGGTGACAACAGACCAACCAAAAATGACCAGTCACTTACCCAGGGTCAATTTTGAATTAATTGTAGAGTGCTCATGAACAATATCGTATCTTCAAATACTAATGTTGACTGGATTTTGTTTTGATTACTTCAGAGAAAGTATTTTATGCAGTTCTCAAAATAACAATCTTAAACTTAAGCAGCTCTATTGCAAAACACCTTCTTTTGAACCTTTTCACTCTTGATCTTTATCATTACTAAAGTGTAATAAACAACATAAATCCTTAGCCTCAGTAGACAATATAAAGGATTGTTGCCATTGTTGATACACCTATGCTTTTCCACAAAGTTGAGGAATGCTGAAAAAAACACTTGTTTGGAGCATTCCACAGGTAAACAGGTTATTTGGAAACAGGTGAGTGTCACAATTGTGTATAAAGGGAGCATCCCCAAAAGTCTCAGTTGTTCACAAGGAAGGATGAAGAAAGGTTCACCACTTTATGAACAACTGTGTGATAAATTAGTCTAACATTTTAAGAACATTGGGCCTCATGCAAGAACATGTTCGTATTTTTATCCTAAATTTCTCTTACTTTTGTTCGTACAAAGGGTTCGTAC